TTAATTTTCGCTATCTTTTCAGGCTCTTCTGTTGCTTCTATCATTTTTAACCTGCTGCTAGGAGTCTGCCATCTCCGGAAGCACGGAAGTCGGAGATCCAGGTATGAGGGGGGATGAATGAATGAAGAAGATCCGCTATGAGCTGTTTTTTGAGCTTCCTTATGATCTTCCGGGGTTTTTTCTTCCAGGGTAAGAAGTCCTAAGCGTCGGCACAATAAAAAAAAAAAAAGCTGCCAAAAAATCTTTAAAGGAGAATTATGAGGCGAGTGATTTTCACTCAGCCTCATAATCTGAGTCGACCTGTGACAATGAAACGGTCACAGGTCGGCTCAGTAGATCGGGAAGTGAGCGAACACATACCGGCGCTCGCTCACTTCTTGATCTATCCCTGCAGACAGCTGTGACTGGATTCCCCCCTCCACTGTCCGATCCTCCAGCGCTGACTGGCGGAACGTACGGGGAGAGGGGGCGGGCACAGCTGGCTCTGCCTCTAGATAGGCAGAGCCAGCTGTCACTCACGCAGCTAGGCGGATCCAGACAGAATTGTCAGGATCCGTTCCGGCTGCGGCGTCTCGGTATACCGGGAGCTGTAGCTCGCGATATACTGAGCTTTGGGTGACGGGAGGATGCTAGTTTTGTGTCCTCCCGTTACCCTTAGGAGAACTATGGGGAAAAGCCCTAACCCTATAGTCCTCCTTTTAAGGTCCCGCCATGGTCATTCTGACAGCCCGGATCGTCAGGAGTCATTTAAGAGGCTCCAAGCGGGGTGGAAGGCCTCATTCACCGCTTTTGGGCAGATCCCCTCGCCCGCAGTCAGGGCAGTGTTGGGCCTGTGGGGCTCAGGATATGACTGGAAAGCTGGTTTATGAGACCTGTTTTCGGGATATGGCGGGAGGAAAGGAGTCCGAAGCAAAGGAAGGCAGTGGAAAAAAGTACGCAGCAGTTTTTGCACGACAAAAATCCGCGGAAGCCTCTACTTCGGGGTTACGTTGGAGGTCACGCCACTCTTCGTCTGCCCCTTCAGAGGTTCAGCTCTCGGATTCGGAGGAGGTTTCTGAGGAACCCGCAGTGTTTGAATCTGCTCGAGTGCCGCCATTTGTTAAAGCGGTAAAAGAGGCAATTGATTGGGAGGAGGAGGGTGCAGCCACCAGAGTCTAAAATGAGAAAGTATTATCCATCTTTGAAGAAAGAGCTGCCATACTTCCCATTGTTATCTGAAATCAAGGAGATGATTGAGGAGGAGTGGACGAGGCCCGATAAACGGCGTTCTACCCATAACAGAGTGTCCAAGCTCTATCCTGTAAAAGTTTGAGATTCTGAATTTTGGGATTCCCTCCTGAAGTTGGATGCGGCTGGCGAGGCACGTAGCCCTTCCGCTGGATGATTAGGTGGCATTCAGGGATCTGATGGGCCGCAGGGTGGACACAGACCTTAAAAAGATTTTACACGACGGCTGGAGAGGCCTGCAAGCCCTCCGTGGCTTTCACATCGGTAGTCGTGGCCCTTAGGGCTTGGATTGCAAACGTGGAATCTGCCTTCAAGTCAGAGGTGGATCAAGAGGCTATCATCGCGGCTTTGGAGGAATTAAAAGTTATCGGCGGAATTTGTCGTAGAAGCAGCGGTGGATATGGTCAGGTTCTCGGCGCGTTTGATGTGCTTAGTGGTGACGGCAAGACGGGCTCTGTGTTTGAAGCATTGGACGGCTGATGCGGCATCAAAGCAAGGCCCTTGTTCTATTCCATTTATGGGAAAACTCTGGAAGAGGCGATACAGCGGGTTACTGGCGGAAAATCTGGCCTCCTTCCCCAAGATAGAAGGAGAAGGGCTCCGTCCTTTCGAGGAGGAAGGAAAGGATATCGGGAAAATGTCCTTGATGCCCGTTTGTACAAGTCGGGGAGAGAGTAAGCCAGGTCGTCCTGGAGAGGGACACAAAGTACCTTTTTTAAGGTAAGGAAAGGCTGCAGACAAGTCCTTCTGAGTTCTTGCCCGCCCCGTCCCCCCCCCTAGTGGCTAAGCGGCGTCAGGTGAGCGGGTTTAACGCCGTGGGCGTGGCGCAAACTGCTTAATCGACGTGGGCGTGGCGTGAGCGGGAAATTAGAATTTTAGCCGACAAATCGACGATGGAAAACGTTGACAACTTTTTCCATCGTCCGATTTTAATGGAATAATTGCTGCAGCTCTAGTGAACAGGCGCTAGTCCTTTCCTATGTGAACAGGGAGGAAAGTGCTAACCACATGAGCAAAATGGAACATCGTTCAAGTTGCACTAGTTTGTATTGAGGGCGGGCAAGGATCAGCTTATTTTAATAGTGAGCACTTTTCAATTTAGTCAGAATCTCTCAAGGAAAGGGGAGGGCCATTTTCAATAATAAGAGGTTTCCTTGAGAGATTCTGACTAAATTGAAAAGTGCTCACTATTAAAATAAGCTGATGTCATTACATCCAGATCACTACAGTTACCTTTCTAGTGTAGTCCACTGCTGACTTACTTTTAGAAGGTGGGCCCTCAATTGTCTGCAGGCCAGCGGCGGGTGAGGGAGCTCACGGCGAGGAGGAGACCAGCGG